ACCGGATTGAGCACCTCTAGACTTATTTCTATGGGGATATCTTAAGTTCTTTTTTTATAGAACACAACATGCTGATATTGATGATCTTAAAAGGCGAATTGCAGCAGAATGCCGGTCAATTTTCGGTGAAGTTTTCCGAAACGTTAAGGAATAGTTCAAAAACAGAACTTATGTTTTTTTACAGGGAAATTGGAAACATTAGAACAATTTCTAAGATAGTGCGTAAGTAGATAGTAGACATAAGTTTAATTGCAGAAATTTCTATTTCGCAAATAAAAAGTATTTTTTGTGGATGTAAAATAATGAATAAATAAGAAATAAGATAAACATCAAAACTAAGAAATCAATGTTTAAACCAGATTTTCTTCCTGTTATTCAACGATTTTAATAGCGTAGCCTACTCTTATAATGATTTGTATTACACGGAGACCCAATACAATTGTTTTTGTGTAAAAACTAACCCGAAAACCAATATCTGAAGGCACGCACGTTTAAGTGTTTCTACAACTTTGAAACGCTATTATTCGGAAACTACTTGACAAAAGCAACAAAGTAATAGCTACTGTAAAGAGAATTGAACGCCCTTTAAAAAGTATGTGCCACTTGACCCCCATTCCAATTTAACATTCAAAGGTGACATCTACCCATCCTAGTGAGCTGAAACAAGGAGGATGAAAATATTTATTTAAAGTGTCCGCTTTACAATTGAAATTGAGGGGTATTTCCCATTTTTCATATTTTGAACTGCGAGAAATATTTTAAGGGTGGGAAGTTTTCAAATTGACACCCCGTATTTAAAAATACTGTAGACACAATTTTCAGTTCATAAACGGATTGTTTGAACACCTGTCAGTTTTTCTTAAATTTTTTAAGATGGCGCCCATAAAAAAAACGTAGTTAATGATGGCTGTCGAGAATCCATAAGTCGGCTTTTAGATACATCATCGCCACGTTGTAAAAAAGAAAAAGTTGCAATGATGAAGTATTATTAATTTTAAATGTCCCCGTCAAATAAGCTAAGGAGAATTTTTGTTATTTACCCAGTACATTTACAATCTGTTCACGAAACAATAAATAAATCCTATGTCAATACTTCACCACAGAGAACATCATATTTAGGTGTACACACAGTGGCATATAACTTTACAACCTTAATTGAATGAATTATTTATGTACAGGGCAATTTAATTAGTCTGCACAACACGAGAATGCTAAGGAGAAATTAATCCAAACATTTTCAAATTTTGATTTTTTCAGGATATCTCCGGAAGTGGCAGACATTTAAAAAAATTTTCAATGAGCATTTTAGTAAGCTCTTGACTGTGCAACTTCTCCCCAATTTAACCAATCTCGTATCTAGTATGGTTACCGAGATCCCCATTGTTGAGCTCCAAAAACGGACACCCTGTATATAATAGTGTAACGGAAATGGCCTGGGGTACTCACGTTTGGAATGGGGGGATCGAAATTGATGGTATTTTATAAGTGACAGCAGCGACCGAGTTCAGAAGAAGTTAAACCCCGCGAGTCGTAAGTCCGAGTTTTCCGTTTGTTATTGTTATTGTTTGTGAAGTTGACGTTAAGTTAAAAGTTAGTTTGGATAGTTTTTAGATACCGAGTAGGATAAAAGTTGGAAGCTGAAGAAAGAGTTTGATACCCGGCCATCCACGGTACAATATCTTTATTTCTTTCGAAAAAGGCTGCCGACCACATGGTCTTTCTGCCATTGAATTTACAATGTGTTTGATGAAAATTAAATACTTTAACAACAACAATCTACACTTGTTGGGTTAGTCGCATCGTTCGTAAGTTTTCAAGTAGTGTTGCGATTGGGAAACGGAAGCGGGATTTTCTTGTTTGTCGTCTAAAGCAAAGGGAATTCACAATGATGCAGTTGTAGAGATTATGGTCCATTTTGTTTGTAGTTGAATTTGTCTTTCGGCTGTTCTAGTTATTTTTGTTCGTTTGTATACTAATTCGTTTTATAGATTGTGTAGTGAATTTTTTGGGTGTCTTATTTAAGTTATTAGTCTCATTGCTATTTGTTCTGTTGCTTGCAAGTGTTCCTTTGTTTTGTTAGAAGCATTTGCTCTCAGTATGTGTCCGTAGTCAAGAAGAGAACTGCAGATTGCTTTGTATAAATGCTTGAAAATGAGTCTGTCGGCCAACACTGTGATTGCCAGATTTTTTTGGGATGCACGGCGAGGCGTCGTCCTCGTCGACTACCTTGAAAAGGGTAAAACGATCACTGGCGCATATTATTCAGAGCTTTTGGGCAGATTCGATTTGCCTTCAACCTAAAAGGACCGCATTTTGCGATAAAAAAGTGCTGTTTCATCAGGACAATGCACGGGTGCACTCGTGTATCGAGCTAAAAGAAGACTATGTTTAGAAACGAAACGTTTTTTAGGGCCGAAAAAACAATCTTTCACTCAAAAAGTCACTCACTTATCAAACGACCATCGTAGTTAGTAACCCAATCTGCGGACCTGACTTCCGTACAGCAGATTAGAATGAATAACATTCTTATAGTGTCTGGTCAATTCTAAGCATATAAATTAGCAAAAGCCTATCTAATCTGTATACCTGGATTGGGCTGTCAGTGGTAAATAAATATACCAACCTGTCGTTGAGTTATTAGGGTTAAACTGAAGCGCCAGATATCGCGTGCTCTGAACAGTTTCAAGCTGTGCCTGTGACATTTCCTGAGATCCCCCAGTCACGCACTACGGAATTTGTTGAAATATGTTTCCGGGAAGAACTTCCTAAGCATTTTTATAATATAGCTTGCAAAATGGGTTTGTCAGATAGTTAGGTAATTAAATTCGTATTAACTTATCAAATGAACGGAAAGTAGTAGTAACGAGTTCTACTCGATTTTAAAGTTTTATCAGTAGTTAGTTCTACTTCATTCAGCGTATGGCTACATGCGTTTCTTAAATAAATAGATATTTTACAAAATACCCATCACCAAACTAGGCAAACAAAGCCTCCCCACCTCAACAACCCTTTGAACGACTGCATACATGTTACTATACCCTACTTAAATGACCTAATTCACGTATTTTTGACATACATACACCCACACTCCAACCTAGAACAAAACATACTGACCAAAGCAAGTCTTTACAAATAGGCAATTATTGTGGGCGACTTTAACCTCAGCAAAAAGACAACGAATAAAAAGATTTTTGGACAATTCGGACTTTATAAAACGGCACACCCCACCAACTTGTCCGATGCCCGGAAACCCAGACTCCACACCAGACGTTTTACTGCACACAACAAACTTAACAAGCACACCATAAATAACTTATTAGAAAACGGACAACACACTCTCCTTTGTTTTTTCCCCTGAACAAGGGCGTCCTCAAGGATCCCCGCTCTCACCCTTTCTCTACAGCATATACTGCCATGACATATACAATTACAACTTACCAGACAAAAATCAAATTGACAGAACGGCATACATTTTACAATACGCTGATGACACTGCACTTATTGTACACGACAAAACTACTGAAAAAGCGACTGAAATACTCCAAACACTAACAGACAACACAATGACATGATTTTATAAATAGAGATTAACGCCAAACGCGATAAAAAATCAACTTCTGCTTACGAACCACAGACTCAACGCTGACTCCCCCCCAATAACTGCAGACGGAAAAATATCACAACCGAAAAATGACGTAAGTTACCTTGGGATTACAACCGACCACAAACTGAAATTCACTAAACACACACAAAACATCCGAACAGAAATGATAAAAAGAACAAAATACTTTCGATCACTAACATACAAGGACAAAGTAATTAGTACAAATACTGCGACACAAATATACAAAGCGATCTGCAGACTCCTCTTGGACTACGGACATATACTCATGGCCAGCGGAACAGAAAGGTCAAAACGATACGTACAAACAACAGAACAAATTGCACTAAGACTAATAACACGAATTAGACACCCCCAAAAGTCACTGCACAACCCTTCCAGCCAACTACTATACGAACGCATAAACATGACAAAAATTTCGGAAAGACTAATACACTTACAGGCAAAATGGACAAACAACCCTCACAACTGGACCATACTGAATCCCCTTTACCTCACAAGACCGACAAAACATTCCCGTTTTTGTTCCCCAACAGATACTTTACTAGAACACCTACAAATGCAACTGAACTAAGAACTAAGATCTGTTTGTTTTGTAAGCCAAGAATTGTGTTTTTTATCGCTGAATAGGAATTAATTTTAGAATAGGCTAGGCTAAGACATGATGTACTAAACAAGGGCAGAAAGACCGATTGGGTCGATAGCCTTTTTCTGTAGGAAATAAAGATTATTTATATATTTATGTATTTACAAAATATTGAATAAAGGGACATTGTACATTGTACTACGGATAGTTCATTCAAACATTACACTAAAAATATTAGGAAAGTCATTTTAAACTATCAATATTCATAATCAAAAGTATCAAAATATTGAAACTCTGGGCACTCACTCTGAATGTGCTGAATGGTTTGCCTAGGTGCAGCCGCATTCAGGTGACATTGTCCTCCCCCATCTTTAGAACGAGTCCGCGCTTCTGCCATGTCCAGTACCCCTCGGTTTAGTGCCTTCGACGTACTGCTGTTTAGAACTGCCACAGGTATATTACAATTTAAACTTTCCAACCAGGTTTATAGTTGGTTGTTTCATTTAATATTGAACTCATGAGCGCATTGGGCCTTTGAGTCATAGCTGCTATTTTGGAGCCCTTTAGCCAGGCAGATAGGACGGTTTCTCGATTTTAGGCAGTTGCATCGTCTTCTTTCTCGTGATATAGGGCTTGTCCTGTTATTTATGCTGTCTTGCCTCAGTTGATTCTGATGTCCAACTTGTCATACCACCTCTTGGGTGGCCGGCCTGAGGGTCTTCTACTTTGTGGTATGTGGATTTTAGACCATTTCGCAATTCTATCTTGTTCCATTCCATCTACGTGATCTCTCTATTGTCGTCTTCTTGTTCCCACCCATTTAACTACATCGTCCACCTGTAATTCTTCTCTTATGGTACTGCTCCGTATTTGATCCCTTAGTGTTACAACTTTGATTGTTCTTAGCGTTTTCATTTCGGCGCACCTCATTACTTGTTTCGTTCTAGATGTTTCCGCTCGAGTTTCCGATGCATACGCAAGAATTGGTCTCACACAAGTCTTGTAGATTCTGACTTTACTCTCAGTTGACATGAATTTATTGTTTCGGATGACGTCTCGCAAGCTTCCTGATATTCTCGACGCCTTCATTGTATTTGCCCGCGTTTCCTCGATCAGATTCGTGCTGCTAGATATTTGCGCGCCAAGATAGTCAAACTTCATCAACTTACAACGGATGGTTTTTTTAGATATGATGATAGATTGTGTTTTATCTGTGGAGATAGTCATATTATTTCGTTCTGCCGTTCACTTAAATCTAATAATAACCGTTGCAGGTCATCTTCACTTTCTGACCTGATGTTGCGGCATCATCTGCATAACACAATATCTTCAAAGATTTGTGAGCCATTCGGTATCCTACTCCCTCTCGTTTAACATCCTCGATAATCTCGTTCATTATTATATTGAAAAGTGTGGGGCTTAAACTGTCACCCTGACGTATTCCTGTTTTTGAATGTACTTGTTGTGTTAGTTCCTGGTTAACTTGTTGTTAGCAACTGGGATTCGCGTTTTGCCGTTCCTATTCAGATCTCTTATTATGCTGATATATCTGTTATCTAGGCCATGGACATGTGGAATATTTTTGATGTCTGTTAGCCTTACTCTATCGAATGCTTGTTTTAGGTCAACCATGCACATGAATACTGGCTTCTCGTATTCAATTCTTTTCTCGCCTAATTGTCTCAATATAAAGATTGCGTCTATGGTGGATCTATTTTGGCGGAAACCCTGCTGTTCTTCGCATATTTCTAATTTTTGATCGATTCTTTGCTTCAATATTTTTGTGAAGATTTGAAGAACAGCGCTCAGGGGTTGTTCCCCTATAGTTCTTTGGTTGTTTTTGTAGCCGTTTTTAAATATTGAGATTGTTTTGCTGGTACGCCATTCTGCACCAGCATTCTCACCTTCGTATTTTATAATTTTATTACTGATGCCATCTACACCAGGGGCTTTTCCGTTTTTCAGTTTGCTTATGATTTTCGTTACTTCTTCTATCGTTACTTCTATTTGGGATGTATTTATCGGTTGACTCGTGTCGTGTCGGTTATATTCCGGGACTATCTCGGTTTCCGACTGGCTGTCGGTTGTTTCCGACTGGTATATTGTATACTTATATCTCCTCATTTACTGGTTTTTTCCTGTTTCTCAACAATTTACACACTTTCTTTTGCCCTTCATATAAGTCATGCTGCATATCCGTTGAGAAGTTCTGGCAGCAACTTTATTTATTATTCTTCTGTATTCCTCGTGCTCTTCTGGGGATTTCGTATTTCTGTATTTAATGTAGACTTTTTGTTTCTCGTTTTCCAGCTGTTGAACTTCTTCTGTAATCCACGGTTTATTGTTTCTTCTTCCATTGATCTTCACTCTCTTCACTCCTATCGCCTCTATTGCACTTAATTTTATGTTAGATGCAATTTTTTCCCAGGCATGGTTCACGTTATCCTGTTCATCGATGTGGTTGTTAGCGATTTTTTCTCTCAGTCTTTCCTGATATAAAGTTATTGTGCTTTGATTTTTAAAGGCTTCGATGTTATATTTTGATATTAATTCGTGGTATGTCTTCGTTGGTGAATATCCTCACGTGTCGGCAGTTTTGGGTTTGCCATAGCTTTTCTGTACTCTCGTAGTAAGTCGTCATTTCTACGCAAGTTTGTGGGCACTGCCAGCCACTGTTTAGGGGTTGCTCTGATTGCACCCGACATAAGTCTCATTGTGTTATTGAGTTGTCTGGTTTTGGTTGGAGTTTGGTTTGGTTTCACATTGCGGTCATTGCTGCGACAAAACAGCCCCTCGAGTGCTGCCATCTTTTTGGGGCAAATGAGTGGTATACCTAAATCGCTTATAACTATCATCCGAAACCACCTGTATATAACCCCCATCACTTTGAGTCTGGGCTCATATTTTGAGCAGCTTCTTGTGTTCGGTTAATTAACTGCTGCTCAATTTGAACCGGTGTTTGGAAGATCGGAGATTTAATGTGTTCTAGTGTCTTGTGCATATTACATACATCGTAGGAATGTAGGCCCTTCCTCGGGGGAGTTATCGGGACAATCAAGTTTCCGGTGTTTGAGAAAGTGCAGTTGTTGTGCAATGCTTCAAGTACTCCTGGACGGCTCAGCTGCAATAATCTCCAATAGCTGTTCCCTTAGGTCTGGAAACCGAGCACCTTTAGATTGTCCACTATCTGCGTCCGTTTCGGGCCACTCGTGTAGTATGTAGCCTTTTGCTGGTGTAAGTTCTTTCAGCGTCTGCTATGTTACTGTGGCATTTTCTCATAACTAATCGCAAATTCGCTGTTGGTTTACATTTTGTGTGTGTGACACATTGTGACAAATGCTTGTTACTATTAAGAAAGGCTGTCAACCTGTAACTATCTGTTAATGACAAAAAACGTCATTGCCGCTTTGACCTTTCATCAAAAAATTGGAGAAGAGCAAATGAGAATTTTCGTAAATTGACAAAAAGATCGTAATTTTTTTTTTCGAATGCTTAAGTATTGTTCAAGACGTGAGACTTTTTCAAAATAATGCTAAAGAACAAAGTTGAAATTCGATCTCCAACTGTTAATATCTTCTTGAAATTTTCAAAAGTACTCTCTAGTGGACCCCTATATACCCTTAAAAGGAATGAAGCCAATTTTGAATCACCCTGTAGTTATAACCAAAGTCTGTGTGTCTCAACAAACTAAATAATTACACAAACTAGAAACTGTATTTCTGAAGTTAAATAAATTTAAATAATAGAAAGGTAGAGTCATGAAAGATTCAATATATTGGACCGTGGATGGCCGGGTATCAAACTCTTTGTTTAGCTTCCAACTTTTATTCAACTCGGTATAACTTTAACATTTGCCTATCTTATCCTATTCACTGTCCATAGAACAAGGCTTATATAGAAACGACTGTCACACTTGTAGAAAGTGTGTCGCTAACCTGCATTATGAACCCACTACACTTGCTTATTTTTAATCGTGTCGCAAGGGGCAGCTGATAATAGGGATAAATGACACAACTACACAAAAATACATATAAATATATATTGTACCGTGGATGGCCGAGTATCAAACTCTTTCTTCTTCTTCCAACTTTTATTCCACTCGGTATAACTTTAACTACGGAACAGGAACAAACTAACTTCAAAATTACCGTCAACTTCACAAACAATAACAATAAGAGACGGAAAACTTGCTCTCCCGACTCGCGCGGTTTAACCTCTTCTGCACTCAGTCGCTGCTGTCACTTCACTTGCTCCCTGTGGTTCTCGTCGCCGCTTATATAGTTTCTTTCAGGTAACCCAGACGGTTCTCGAAATCTCTAGCCCAGGTGCGAAGTTTCCGGTTTCTCAGTGTCATACTTGACAGTAAATGGGACGCAAAGGGGCTCCGATTTACTGAAATACCATGAATTTCGATCCCCCCATTCCAAACGTGAGTACCCCAGGCCATTTCCATTACAATATAAAGATCCAATTAATTTGATTTTTAGTTTGTCCCTTACGATATTTAAAGATGCAGCTCCTGAAAGATTTGACGTGCAATTTTGAAGTTGAAGTTTAGTGAGACGTTTTTTTAAATTTTAATTGAACTTTAATGCATAACAACACAATATTAAGCGCTTTGGGTGCCAAACAATAAACAAGTTAATCGAACATGGCAAAACAGAAAATGTATAATAGCGCCAATATCATGAAAATGGAATTACTGTCAGCGGCAGATTATAGACAAATTAATAGTTTAATTACATATGACGTAATTTGCATTTTAGCTAACAAGCCCTTCCATTTCTAGTATAATATCTTAGTCAGCATTTAATTGAATTGTTCAGAAATACCACGAATTCTATTTTGTTCAGATTCCAGACAATTGAAATTATAATTAAGTGATTTAAAATATGAAAATATATGATGCGTGATTGGTATATGCGATGTTTAGTAACTATATAAAAATTAATAAAACTAAAACGTGCATTTACAACAGTTAAAATAGGTAAAATGCATGGTCTGTGCGAGAACCTATATTGCGAGGGTAAAAAATTGAAAATGTGCATTATTCAAGCTGAGTCATCCGTTGAACAGTTTGGCGCAGCCGTATCAAAGTTTAGAATGCTGGAACCTCCAATGGCGCAGAACTAGCAGCCTGCTCTAGAAACGCGAGACCAAGAAGAAGAACATGCGAATATAAAACATCAGCAATTTCGAGTCCTTAGAATATTTAAAAAGAGGGTTGAATAGGCCGATATTCATTTCTTGGCATTCCCATGGAGAAACTATTTCAGATTATAATGAAACTCATACCTATCAATCCTCAAAGTTTCAGCTTCAACGTCGAGTTGCACTTGATTTCAGACAATTTTTATTCTCGTTGCTGCCATATCTAATATTAATGGTTTGACTTTGGTGGTGCATATATATACATGGGAGCAATATTTTATCAATACGTTTCCTCTTGGAAATGATAATTGCTTGTTCGAGTATTTTCTTTTTAACACCTATAGCTTCTTTAATACTTTCGGACCCGAAATGACCATTGTTTCGCTTTCATTTAGTGGAAATGTATAACTAGTTTTTTGTGTATTGTACCGTGGATGGCCGAATATTAAACTCTTTCTTCTGCTTCCAACTTTTATTCCACTCGGTACAACTTTAACTACGGAACAGGAACAAACTAACAAAATTACCGTCAACTTCACAAACAATAACAAAAACACACGGAAAACTCGCTCTTCAGACTCGCGGGGCTTAACCTCTTCTGCACCCGGTCGCTGCTGTTACTTCACTCTCCCCGTCTGGTTCTCGTCGTCGCTTATATAGTTTTCTCCAGATATTCCAGATAGTTCTAGAAATCTCCAGAACAGGTGCGAAACTTCCCAAATGGGGCTCCCATTTACTGAAATACCATGAATTTCGATCCCCCATTCCAAACGTGAGTACCCCAGGCCATTTCCGTTACACTGCCCCCCTTCTAAATCCTGATCGCCCCGATTAGGTAATTCCTGGATCATGGTTATATCTGGGCAAACGGTGAAGGTGGACAACTTTACATTTTGCCTGAGGGCTCTTCTGATTG